ATTTATAATTTTAGAAAATTTTACCACATATGAACTTTGCATAACAATATCCTTATTCGTAGAACACACAGAGAAAAAAAACTAAAAACATGTTTATTATATAATTTAAATCCCAGCTATCGATTGAGACGAGTTAGGACTCAATCAATGCAGTCGTTACTGAGGTATGAGGCCTGTTCTTTTTAGCTGAATTTCTTGCACTATTTCTTCTTTTTGCATTGGAGAGAAAAAGATGAGAGATAAACGGCACAAGTTCACTGAAAGAACAAACCTCTATGAAAATAGGAGCACCGCTTATCTTGGCGGCCTCGGCGTTCTTCGCAAACTTCGTTGCACGAACTTACGATGAGACCTGTATCTCTTGATAACTTGATTTTTTTCATTCTAATAATTGTGTAATCGTGACTAGTGAGCAAAATACAAATTTTTCTTAGTTTACAATTTAAAGAAAGAGAAAATCGTTTATATACCGAAATATTGACGAATAGATTTTTAATGCAAATATTGAATAAGCTGTTTATAAACTTTTTTGTATCTGTTTCAGAATGATAATCAGCATAAGTAAGCGATGTCATTTTAATCTTGAAATAAGTTTGAATTCATTAATATTTCAAGTTCATTTTATTAAGATAATTATAGTTGCAGGTAAGTAATCTAAATAATCTATATAAATTTAGATAATCAAGTCTATCAAAACCATTTTGTAAAACATTTACTACATTTTTTTATCAACAAAATGATAATAGATTTGATACAGAATTAGATATATATAATACTGTTGGAACAAATATAACAGAATCTGCTGACAAAATACAATGATAGATTAGTGAAAAAAAATAGAAAATAATTTGATAATAGATTATCAGCAGAAACTGAATTTGTGCTATCACTAAACATAATAATTGTAGGATTACAATTAAGTAATATTCATTTTTGGTATATAAAATTTGTAGAACCTTATATAATTGAAAATTTGTATAAACAAAACTCATGATTACTTGCATATTACATATGTAAAATTTATTCAAATTTATTTAAATTTTGGGTTGCAATATCTCTGTTTGTAAAGCATCGAGAGAAAAATTAAAAATATTTTTCTTATATATTTTATATATTTTTTTAGATATTTTTAGAAAAATTAAAAATATTTTTCTTATATATTTTATATATTTTATATATAATATTTTATATATATATATTTTATATATATATATTTTTCTTATATATTTTATATATTTTATATATATTCTTATATATTTTAAATCTCAAGTTTCATTGTATATGAATTTGGCAATGAGTCGTTATATATGTCTCTTGATATAAGATTGTGTGCATTAAAAGAATTCATAATTTTAATACATTTTAATTTTTCAAATATATTTCATGTTGTTTTTGCATTTTTGTTGCTTCAAAATTTGTTTATGATTATATCATCTACTATCTGTTTTTATATTTCAGAAATATTTTAGCAAGTTTTGATATTATCTAAAATGAATGAGACACAAGAAATTGTTA